AGGTTGTATATCAAGATGGTATGTTAAAATTAAATTGTAAGGAATATAAATATATATCTAATTTGCTAATATAATGTTAGAGCTTTACAGGGGAGCCCTTGGAGGGCTGCGTGCTGAAGAGAGCAAGCAAAGAGAACTGTGTTGGTCACCCTGAAAAAGGATAGAAGACCTGAGGCCCCTGGAAGACATTAATTTAATCACACAATAACTTCAGAGGAATCTTAACCTGGATACCCAAAATTACACTTCCTGACATGCCAGACATTCAATATTTGGCATGGTAGAATGCGAGATTGTTGGGATCTTGAATAAAACTCCTCAGGTTACATTGTGCATCTGCTAGGGCATGCAGAGGGCTGCAGTACATGCTGGGGTATGGGAGCAATGGATCACAGCATTCCCTGTTCCCAACAGCTCGTGCCATGGGCTTTCAACAGCACATGGCTGGGGACGGGGTTCCTCCGCGATTCCCACCTGTAGGGTTTTAATGACGTGTGGCTGGAGACTGAGGAAACTTGAGGCAATCTGCATTTGCACCCAAAATCTGCAATGTTATTTGTTATTTTATGCCTGTTCAAATTATGTAAGTAAAATCCCATCTAGATCAACCTTATCTGCTCAGAAAAAGTAACAAAGCTCTTGACCTCTAAATGATATCATCTTGCCTTTGGTTTTGTTATAGGCTCATTGGCTGGCATGGAACTGGGATTTCAAAAGTGCTACAGAGCACCCTGGACAACTTTTTCTTTTTTTTCTAAATAAAAAGGGCACCTAAAATAGTGGGATTTTTTGTTTTTTTAAGTTTTAGAAGGGAGAAAATTTGGGATGTTAGACATTTCTATCTGATCATTAATGCAAAATTAATGCAAAAAAACCACAGCTTCACACCACAAAAAATAATTTGTACAGTTTTAACAGTTTAAAAAAATATGGTAACCATTTTTAAGTTAATTTACTAATATTTTCTAATCCTACCAATGACATGACTGTCTTTTCCTTCACAAATTAAGCTTCGTTTTTTTTTCATGAAACGAAACCTGTGTTTTTGAAAGGCTCCAAACATGTAACAAAGCCAAATCGTGTTAAAACTGAACCCCTGGTTTGCAGCTGTGGATATAAATTTATGGTTTCATAAATCTCTAAATGTCCACATTATCTTGTCCTCATAGGGACCATTTTGGATTATAGACGACTGGATCATTTTTATCAACATTAAATCTCACTAGCTGAAGGGATGTATACAAATTAATGCCTGGAAATTTTACATATCACTGCCTTTCTTTTTCACCTCTATGCTCTACAACCCAGTTGAGACCCAGCAGATAATTCCCACACATACTACTCCTATGTCTGTAGCTGGAGATGATCCAAGGCACTGCAGCTGAAAGCAACCTCTGAGACAGCAGCCTCACTAGCATATTTTTGGATTTGGAAGTGCCTGGAAGTGAGAGTGGCCCAGCCTTACTCAGGAGCAGCCTTGCTAGGACAGGCTGCTACCATACTATAAACAAGCTCCAAGTAAATGTAGACAAAATCTAGAGCAGAGATGTGTTTGAGAATTGCAACAATGAACACCTATATTACAGTACAATAAGGTAAATCAATAAAAACTACTGAAGAATATATTTAAAGACTGCATTTGGTGGTCAAATTATGATGTAAATTACAATCATGTAGCCCAAGTGAACCCTGTGGAATTGCACAGGAGTATTCAGTACAAAAAGTGCCCCTACAAGACCACGGATAAAGACACGCCAGGCAAAATCATGACATTTCAGTATCGTATAATAAGAATTAAAACAGTACTTAATAAACACTGCTTAATGTATTCAACAAAGAAGTGCTGGAATATTTGGGCCTCGATTAGATACAAACATACTGACTAATTATGTGCACATTTAAAATGTTCTAATTAAATACGGCTTGCTTTGGACATTACACTGGTGTGACTGCGGTCAGAATTCTGTCACGCATAGAAATGCAGATGTTGTAAATTGTTTAGATGTTGGCATTTTAAAATCCTCAACATCTGTTAGAAGGCAATCTTTCAGTTACCTAATCTGCCATGATTAAACAACATTTTGACATTTTTAAGTACCAGAGCAAACTCGACATCACTTCCAACTTGTAATTTACTGCCTGTCTGAAAACTTACACGCCCCAATTTAAGAAGTCTACTGTCCTAACAAGGAAAAAATACCAATGCTTTGCTAAATGCATTTCTTTGGAGTTACAACCAAAACAAATTTTCTCAAAATAATTATTATTTGAACAAGTTATAATTTACTGGTTTATCTGAAAACATTAACACTTCAGATTCTGTATATTATTCCAGGAAGTAAAGGGTCCTGTATCTAGAAGTTTGGTTGGGAGACCAGTCACAATTCCAGGATTCTGTTCTAAGCAACACTACTAATGACCTACAGAATTTTGGACAAGTCACTTTACCTCCCTGTTTCTTGGGTTAGCCTCCTATAAAAAGGATGGAGTAATATTTACGTACCTTGCAGTAACACTGAGAAAAACGATTAATTAACCTATCAAAGGATCTTTGTAACTGTTGGACAAAAGGTGCCACAAAAGTAAAAAGAAAGCTTTAAAAAGCAAATGCTCTCATGGTTGCAGAGTTGTTCACTAATAGGATATTAGTAGACAATTTCTGAAGGCACTGAAAAACCATAAACACCCCCAACACATATAACTAGCTCAAAAATATGGATTAAGATAGCTTATATACAAAAATCAGATATTACAAAAGTCAGATTAAAAAAACTACTGGCATTCCTTATACTTGGGATGTAATCCATGAAGTATGAATATGACATTACTGTTTTTCTTTTTCAATACTTCAACTGGGTTTTGGTTGTGCAAAAGAAGAGCACAACCAGTGAAAATAGATCTACGTTCTACTTTATCTTAAGTAACCAAGGTCACTACAAAAAAGACAAAATGTCTTGACTTGTCAGGTTTGGCTCTGTTTTTAGTTTATGTAAACCAGAGTTCAGAAGGGGCTGTGTCAAAGTTTAAAGCTTTGGCCTATTTTTATAGAAATGCAGCACCTCTTACTAATTCTGTTCTGATATATTAATAAGTTGTTCACTTCAAACATGCAACATTTCTGTTTTAAAATTTTCCGTTTCCCATGGACAAATGTGGGATAAATCTCACAATTCAAGTTCACAAAGTGCACACATACAGTTTACTGCATCTACAGTCATATCCAAAAATCTCACTAATCTTGTTCTTTGGGCTGAGACAGCACTGCAGGATTTTAGCTGAACCATCTATCTGCATGATGACATGAAAGTTTCAGCAAAATTTCTATATCCCACATTGCTGCCAGCAACAGCTTCAGAAGTCAGCTACTCATTTAGACTAGGGACAGAAGTTCCACATAAACCAGTTTAAGTGATCCAAAACTGGTTTAAATCTGTAACAGAAAGAAGTTCAGTGCACATAAACCAGTTTCAAAATGGCCAAAACTGGTTTAAAGATAAACCTGGTTGAATGTAGTATCAGATTTAACATAACTTCAGCTGCAATGCCTTGGATCATTTGTGTCAAAGTGGTTTATGCAACTTCTGTCCAAGATCCTTTCCTGATTTAAACTTAAACCAGAGTCCCTCAGCATCCCAGCATGCTTTTCAGCCCTGGGTTGGGCTGGGCTGTTCTGCCTGCTCCAGACAACAGAGCTGGCCTCGCCCCTTTGCTCACCAGCTGGAGCAGGGGCTGGGCATGACCAGATGGCATGGCAACCCTGAGGCGAAGGCAGCAGGGAGGAAATTTATTCCCCCCTCCCCACCCACTCCCACAAGGGGACCACAGTCAGGGCCTGCTTTGCCAGGGTATAGCAGCCCCTGTCAGGCCCACCCCCTCCACAGCCTGAAGCAAATGGGGAGAAAGAAGGGGAATTCATCTCCTACTCTGTCCCCTGTCCCACTGGCAGCAGGGGTCCACCAGCCAGGGTGGAGCAGCAAAGCAGCCCATCAGCCATTCACCCACTCCAGTGGCACTGGAGGGAGTGTGGCCCTGCCATCCACCTGCCTCGCCACTGGCTGGGGCTGGGGCTGTGGGATGGGGCTGGGGCTTCCTAGCCAGTATCTTGTTGGTTTTCTGTTAATACCAAACTTTGATGAAATGGGCATATTCTTTTCATTAAGTTTAGGTACAAGTTAGTATCACCATAAGAAAAATATATTTTTTTAAATTGTTAGCAAAGGGCAAAACAGAATTGCACTTAGGTACCTACATCCACTTACATGCCTAATATGTGAAAGATAATATAGTACTTAATGTTGGGCTGTGCTCTTTATCATATGGACATACCCTCTTTGTTAACTGGCAAAGGTTCTCACATAGGCCAGCCATAAGACGACATTCTTAGAAGAGCAGAATTCTCTTGCATGCTCATTTATGTGAATAAAATGATACTATTCTAGGGAACTTTCAGGCCTTTATAAAACACCAGCAAATTCTGAATTCCTAAAAGAAAAATGCCACACTTGTAGCACTGCTTCTCCTTTTTGCCCCACATTAACCCCTTACTCCACAGGATACAAGCAATTCCCAAACATCAACAGGGTGCCTAGACCTCCCTAACCCTCCCTATCATTCCCTACAAAGACATAAGGTAAAGCTATTGGAATTCAGCAGAAAGAGAGTTCAGTTCATAGCAAACAAAACACAAATAGTCTCTTTTAAAATTGCTGTAGTCAGTCCTTCTCTCAGGTGAAAAACAATCAAGCCATCATGCTAGCTTTACAGTCATTCAACTCCAGTGAATGCCTTTGATCTATTCCAGTGTTCTGTTACTAATCTACAGCTGATGAAGAAATATGCAAAATGCATAATCTACAGTGAACAACAGAACCTTGTTCTAGCCAGACACAGATGTGTTACAGAATACTGTAGGTCACAGGAAGAGTAAATCATTTCCCAAACCCGTATTATACAAAACCACAGATTACCAAAGCAAAATACACCTTTTGTTATCTTCTTACCTGGTAAGGAACAATACTGCCATGAGCAGTGCCCCAGCGTTTGGCTTCCATTTTGCAATTAAGGTAATTAGCTGCTATATGGGTAAGACATGCAACCTGAAAGAGGATGAAAAGACAGTTGTTGATATAGGACCCTCTGATATATGTTCTATTTCTTTGATTTTATATTTTTATCCATTATATGCATTTCTGTTGGGCAGTTATGATTCATTTTTATTTTAAGTCAAATTTAATACAGAATCGATATATTCAGTAACACCACTTGCAGAAATAATGTAACAAAACAACATGTCCTTTAATACTAGAAAATGACAGTTGGCATTTCTGTAGCAGAGGGGTTCCCAAACTATGGTATGCGTGCCCCTGTGGGGTACACAAGACAGCTCTGGGAGGTACACGAGAAATTGTGAAATGGGGGATTTAATTTTCATTATAATAATAATTGGTATTTAAGGGGTTAAAATTTAAACCATATGTTGGTAGAGGTACACGGGCAGCTGGTAAATCTGGAAGGGGGTATGCAATAAGAAAAAGTTTGGCAACCTCTGCCACAGCACATAGCATGCAATATAATGTAAAATCATGGACATGAAGATGAAACACCCTGTCTTTTGACTGTGTTAAATATTTTACAGAATGGTCAGCTATGGCAATGAAATGCTCCACAACTTGCCAAAGTCAGAAAGGAAGCATGCAATAGAGCTGTGAAAAGTACCTACAATTCCTGACTCTTGATCCTGTGCTTAAATCTTTCCTCAGTCACTAGCAGATTATCTTTCTTCTTCCTTTCTCCTTCTTGTTTTATTTATACAAGCTAAGTTTTGGAAAATATTTCAGGATTCTCCAGCTCCATACATGATCTGCAATATTAATTAAGCAGCAGTCCTCAGTAAGTCATTTGCCATTAGAAGACAGGGACAGTGAAAAGGTTAATTCTGTGAAAATATGGACTGCTATATTTAGTAACCACAATCTGAGGGGGTAAATCTGAAAGTAATTTGGACTTTATAACAGCAAGGATATATCTTAGGGGGGGAAAAACCTAACATCTAAAATGCGGTCATGGCTGAAAAATCAGAGGTTCTCTTTCAATTAATGGCAGATTTTCAGCTAATTGGAAAACTGCAGGATGTGACTATGTCTCCAATCCAAATAATGTATTAGATCATTATTTGCATCACAAAAATCCAAAAGTCTAATCTGTCAGCCATTATTTTTACACTAATTTGATTAAAAATATATCTTAAGTTGCTAGTAATGAGTTATGTTAACAACAAAAGTTATCTTTAAACAATAATTATATATTTTTTTCAGAGCAACATCGTATTTTCCTAAGATTTCTCCCACAATTTGGTGCAAATTCATGCTGTTTACAAGTGCTTAGTGATATTTTAGTAGTTGTATTTTGATGACTGCATAAAACCTTATGCAAATAGCTAGCCAGACTACCTCTGTCAGAAGCAAAGAAGAAGGTGCACAAAGGGGTTGCAAGTGACTCTGGGTTATATGTACTAACAGCCCATACCCCCAAGTAACTAACTCAGATCTGAACCACTTAAAAGCCATGTGCCAGGAATTTTAGAGCATCTAGAAACAAGATGCTACATCTCTCTCTCAGCTCTCTTTTCTAGGTACCTCTTTTCCCATATGCCCTGAAAAGACAGCTAGAATTTGCCCCTCTAAATTTAAGCAAAGAACCAAGAGAATTGTCAATGTATAACCAAGGCCTCTATAATTAAGGGTACAACCAAGCTTTAATTTACAGATAGATATTTAACTTTCTCACAGGAATAACATTCCCAGCTGAAAACAATCTTGCTTAATTCTGTGGAAGACCTGTGGGTAGAATCTTGGCCCCAGTAAATGGGAGTTTTGCCATTGACTTCACTGGAGCCAGAATATCACTTTCTATTTGGCTCTCGTTTCAGCTACACAGAACAAATAATTTCCTAGTTATAGGATGTTACAAATGGCTTCTTTGGGGAAAAAAAAAAAGAACTTTTCAGTGATGTCTTGGAGTTCACTTCAGATGAATTTCACTGTTTTAAGCTGCCACCAAATTGACCTGTGTGCATGTCTGTAAAGCACTAGAACAGGGTACAATAAAGAGATTGGAAACACAAAAGGTTACTGATAACCTCCCTGCTGACTGGATCTTCACCAGGACAGCTGCTGTACAAAGACTTTTGTGTCAGCAGCAACAGGCCACAAATCCAAGGGGAGTCAGAAATCCTATGCAGCTTAGTAAACTCTAAATGCACTTGGAGATACTAGTTACCCTCCTGAGGCCTCAACTAAGCAAGGCACTTAGGCATATAAATAGTCCCATTAAACTCAATGGACAGCTCACTTATTTAAAGTTGGATATATGCCCAAGTACATTGCTGAATCAGGGCCTGAATTACTTGAGCCTGATAATTTCAAAGGAATCTGAGGGAACTGGGCTCTCAACTCCCATGGTCTTACAGTACAAGATTTGCACCCTAACGCCTTTGAAATCTAAAGCCAAAACCTTTAAGGAATATACAAATTAACTGGCTTAGAGTATAATTTAGTACTTTGATGCTACATATTTTATACATTAAGATGAAGTGTTTATCTGGATGAGCTCTCTTGTCACTTCTGCTTCTTCAGCCATAAGATTTCAGTAGGCTTAAAAGCTATTCCCACCTTCTACCATGCTGTTTTACTACTACATCTGTGTGATCTTTGGACTGCCTCACTTCTCCACATCTCTTTCTTCCTCTTACAAAAGTCAACCCTGACCAAAAAGAAATATTTAGTAAATCTTTCAGCATATACATTCCTTTCATATGTCTAACTATGTAAAGAATGTGATTAAGTTGGAAGAGTGTGCTTCTTTATCTCATAGATCAAAGATAAGGCTGCTAGGAGAGCATGTGAAGTGGATTTTATCCTCTGCATTGCTGCTACCCAAATGTATCAACTGAAAGCAGGACAGCATATTTATATAGAAATAATCCTAATTAAAGTTTTCCGTATATTTTCATTCCCATTGCCTCGGCATGTGTTTTGTATCAATGTTAACTTCTGTAGGAACCTTTACTGAATGTTAAAGCTTTTTTGTAGAGCTCTGCTAAAGACGCACTGTTCTTGATGCTTCATGCACTAAGGCTAAGTACAAACAGCGAAAAATCCCAAGGCAGAATTGATCCAATCTATGCAGGTTTCTCTAAGCTGGGTAGACTGGATGGGGAGCAAATGGAGGGCACATTCACCCTTCAGTGGAACGGGGCACACAAATGCTTGCACTGGCCAAGGCCAGAAGCCAGGGGGCACTCCCACATGCCTCCCAGTGTACCGAAGACTACAGAAAGCAACCATGCATGGGCCATCCCTGAGCGGCTGCCAGGCACATGCCCCCAACCTCCCCACTGCCATGCTAGACCCCCGCACCCAGGCGCAGGGTCCCAGGAGAGCCCCAGAAGGCATGCTCCTCCCTGCTGCCACTAGCCAGGTTGCCGGGTATGCAACAGTGATCCCCTTGGGGCCCTCCACTGAAGCCCAGGGCTGGGCACAGGAGAGGAGCAATGGCAACAGCAGGGGCCCAGGGGTGTGAACCGGACAGCCCATCAGGGGTGGCCCAGCTCCACAGAATGAAGGACTTGGCTCCAAGGAGCCCAATTCTGCCCCCTATGGAGCAATCTTGTCCCTGCCACCCAGTACAAGTTCCCTGGGCTGCCCAGTGCCTCTTACTAGCTAATTCTGATACCAGGTTCCAGTGGGATACTCTGGGCAACCAGCACTGGGTAGCAGGGCCTATCCTTCCCTCCATGTAGCACTCCCATCTCCACCGCCTGTCACAGGCCTCCCAGGCTGCCTAGTACAGTCTAGTACCAGCAGCAGCTGGCAAGATGTGCCAAGCAGCTTGTGAGGCTTGCACTAGTTGGCAGGGATAGGAGTGCTCCACAGAAGGAAAGATGCCCAGCGTGCTGGAGGACAAGCCCCCCCCCAGGCCAACCAGCGCATCCTACTGGGTTCTGGAAAGATGTGCTGGGCAGCCTGGGAGGCCCACGCCAGGTAGCAGGGCCTGAACTTTCTCTCTATGGAGTGTTCTCATCCCCACTGCCTGGTGCAAGCCCCCCAGGCCAGCTAGCATGTCCCACCGGAGCCTGGCACCAACAGCAGCTGACAAAACAGCAACTGGTAGGTTTGTTCCAGGTGGCAGGCATGGGAACACTCCTTAGAAGAGGAAGGGAAGTCCCCTGCCACACATCCCTCCCCCCATGCTGGCTCAGAGCTGAGGCCAGTGGCAGAGGGCTCCATTCCCCACCACTGCCCCCTGCCCCCACCTCCAGTCCAGCCGTGCAGGTAGGAAGCAGAGGTTTTCCAGCTCCAGTCTGTGACAGCTCAGAGGCAGTGCCGGCCCAACAGATGAGCACCTGCTGCCCTGCAAGGGGAGCTGGGAAGCCAGAGGACAGAGAAATAAGTCGATTTGCTATGGGATCTGGAGCAGAAGTTTGATAGACTAGTCTAAACTAAACTGATTAAATCAGATATTACATCCATCCAGATGTATTTCAAGTTCTATCCATCTCAGGTTCTGCCATTTTGAAACTGGTCTATGTGCACTGAACTTCTGTTGTGTTATAGGTTTAGACTGGTTTCCGTGTGGTTTGTGTGTAATTTCTGTCTCTAGCCATCAAGTAGCTGCAATAAAGCACTAGTTTTGTGAAAATATTACACAACCTTTAGATATAGACCCTGCTAGGTAGGCATTACTAAGTCTAAAGTTGTTTTCCTGAAACCTGTGGGTTTGTTTCCTTTCTATTTTAATTAAAACCAAACCCACAACTGTAACCTTTATACCAGTAAACATTAAAGCAAATGTAACACAATGCTAGAGAGAGCTCTGTATTCATTTGCTTGCACAGACAAATCTACCTACAGTAAATGTATATTATCAAGTGTCTATACAAAAACTATTCTTTATTTCAATTCAGTAAAGGGAACAGACACACATTTACATTCCTTTGTGATATTACTATGGATGGTTAAATCACATGTTTACTTTACTTCACTTTACACACCTACCTAAGCCAGAACAAAAAGAGAGCTACATTAAGCTCTGAAAA